CCCCAAAACCCCAAAACCCCAAAACCCCAAAACCCCAAAATATTTGTAAATAGTTGAATGTAATAATTAATCTTGCATATCCTTATCAAACTCCTCGTCAAGCAAGCTCTTTCCCTTCTTGGCAAGTACTTCCTGGTACTCCTTATTATCATCAATTTCCTTGTCACTGACGAGATTACAAGCACCTTTAAAGCTCTTCCTCCAGTTGCCTCTCTGAATACACTTTTCTCAATTAGTAGTGACGGTCTTCCTTGCATTAGCCTGAGAAAGCCCTACCATAGAAGCAAGAGAGATTGTATCGTGAGGATTCCGATGCAGAATTTGCATGCCACTACCACAGCTAAAGATGATATTCTTACTCTTAATACACTCAACAAGGTCCATAGATTTGCCGATAAAGTTCTTCCTGTACTTCACAGAGTCGCTGATTGCCTTCGCATACGAAATCTCAAAGAAGATGTTCTTGCTCACAGCTTGCTTCAAAGTCTTTTTGTTAAAGAAAAATTTTAGGAACTCACACAAATCTAGAGAAATTATGTCAACATCAGACTTTTGAATGAGGAGGTCAAGACATTTATCATCGCTTGTGGATGCACTCAAGATGTCATAAGTGTGGATAATCTTAGCTGATTTAGTATTACTCCCTCCTCCCATTGAGTTCATCAATTGATGTGCTATTTTCTGATTTTCAACACGCACATCTAGCCGTGTAAGGATACGAACCTTATCCAAAGAAGAGACCATATTGAACTCCTTATGCAAGGGGATAGACTCAGGTCAGTACTCCTGATACCTCTCTTTAATATTAAGGTCCTTAGGATCAAAGTTACACTCATCCTTGGGAGAGAGGTCATGATCAATACTATGAGTGACTACAAACGTAGTATATCCATCATTAATCCCATTACATATAAACTTTGCTAGTTCTGCCATCTTGATTGCATCTCCTGTCTCTGTCATATCGAAAGGAATGTTCATCTCTCAATAGCCTGTATTCTTCAGCAATGGCTCTTCAATCTTAAGCTCTTGGCCTTTCTCTTCTTCCTGAGACTCCATATTTATTTATTAATTACAATTTAGCCACTACTGTTAGGGGTTTTGGGGTTTTGGGGTTTTGGGGTTTTGGGG